AGATTGTTCATTAATGTGAACTGTCCTGATTAACCTTATAATGCCAAATATATCATATTCGATCCGGTTTCTGAAGTCTTTTGGATCTGAGACTTTTTGCATCATTCAGTGGTAAAAGCTTTGCTCAAACCCCTGTTGTACACATTCAGATATACCTGATAACAGCCAGTAGAAGACTACACCAACATAGATTTTTTACTTATTGCACACTAATTTGATCAAAATAATTTCTGTTTGTTTTTCTTCATATGTTGTTGAGGGGCCAAAGAAAGACTTCAGACTAAAAAATCCAATATTCTTCCTATTTTTCTTGGATCAGGCATTAAAGGGTTGAATAAATAAATAAAAAATACTTAAGCCTCGACGGATAGCATGTTAGCTTGCGAGCTAGTTGACTTCCCTTATTGACTATGATGTGTTAAATCCCTCCTATGCGCCTGCACTGGGGGAGACTAATGAAGTGACTCGTTTATGTGTATTTTCCAGAAAGGATGCGGTCCACTTCCTGCCTGTGCCGATCCACAAACAGCCATTGTTTTATGGAGCCTCGCAAACAATAAATAGCAGGCGCCCGAAAAGCCTCCCGTCTGCCTGGTCCCAAATATACAAGCTAAAAGGCCCCGAAAGACGAGGATTCTGGAGGTAAACATCCGTGTTTAACAGCTCTGCCTTTTGAGGAAAAGATAAATAGGATGTGTGAGGATCACTAAATAGTTTCTCCATCAGAGAGCTGCTGCCTTCCCCAATGCTTTTATGTTCAAACATAACAGGATATATACAACGCCTTCCTCACATTTTTCTCATGAAAACAAAATAAAACCCTGACGTCTATGTTTATCAACTTGAAACCCCCCTTCTCCTCACAATCACCCCCCCCCCCCAGTACCAATAAACACAAAGTAAAATGTCAGCCTGAGGAAGGCTGGAGGAGGGAGGACTAAAAGCTTAAAGGAGACATATTAAACCCTATTTCAACAAGTTAAGCTAGCTCCCTGGTGTCCTAATGTAATGTCTGTGACAAGCTTTGGTCAGAATCCCATAAGGATGAAGCCCAATAGCAGTTC